TTGCCACCCATGGTTGGGGAGTTCAGCCCAGGTATTATATTTGTTCTTGACTCTCTTTTCAATAAATCAGGGATGAGTTTTATTTCTCCCTCAATATCTAGTGTGATCCCTGAGCATATCCTGTATGCTCTAATCATCTATAGAAGGAGAAGATTGGAAATGGTCAGGAGGGCCAGGGAGAAGAGTGAGGGAATTCATCTGAGATGCAATACAACCTTTATTAGACCAGTTGGGCTCTGTGCTCTCCTTTGAAAAATTGTTCAACATTTTATGCCATGTTCAGTTCATCTAGTTGCGGAAATTGTTCTCCAGCTTTGGATTCTTCTCACATTTTGTATGTAGTCCTGGAGGCTTCCCCAAGAGTCAGCCTCATTGTTCCCTTTCCTTGTTTATTTGATCATTCTCGGTAGCAGTTTTTCCAACTCCTCTATCAGAAGCAGGAGATAAGGAGACTCCTTTGGGGTGCTCATCTCCATGGATGGGTACTGGGGATAGTTACCAGGATTGTGAGGGGACTTTGTTATAGCTTTAGAGATTGTCAACTGAGTCCGGGTTGAAGCATGGTAAGCTTATCTAATCTGCTCTAGAAACATTTTTTCTTTCTTTCTTTCTTTTCTTTTTTTTTTTTCCGTTCTGGTAGTTTTTTTGTATTAGGCAAATACAAGTTTATTCCTGCCTCCTCTAATTTATTTTCTTTTCTCTCCCCCACCCCACCCATTTTGTCTGAAAGAAGAAAAAGTCTGTGAGGAAGTTTCAATGTATCATTTTACGCAGAAGTCCTTTTTGTGTGCATGTTCATCTGTATGTATTGCTAATGTCTTCCCAAATGCCACTGTGGCTCAGCTGTGTTGACGGAACAATGGAAAGGTTTATGTTCATGCTCGGGCCACAGGGTGAGAGGAATGGGAGTGGAACAGGGATCTGGGCATCCAGGAAATTCATGGTGAGAAGTGCCTTGCGGATGGGAAGCGCCGGGGTACAGGACTGAGCACTTCCACAGTCTGCTGGTCGGAGCTTCCCTCCTGGAAGAGTAGGAGGGCTTTGTGGTGGTTTAGTAGTGGGGGGCATTATTTTGTTAACTGCTAATAGGTTTACCAGACGGTTATTTTTCTTGAGAGGAGAGCCTGTGGCAGCATCTGCGTCAGTGCCATTTGGATAGCAGAAGTGCCAGTTTCTGCTTCTGCTTGGGTCACTTCCTGGTGTTAAGAAGTCAGCACTGGACGATCTGAGATGTGGGAGATACGGTGAAACCCTAGCATTAATCAGACAGCATTCCTATTTAACAGGGATACGATTCAAAATGTTAAGCAAGATTCAAGGATAATAATGACACATAAGAAGAAAAACGTCACATAAAAATGTGATGAGAAAGGGAAGGCTGCCTGTGCACCCCGGAGAGAAATAGTCTTATGAAAGGGTGATTCACTCAGGCACAATGGAAAATGACGCAGCAGAACTGGTGTCTGGCTGCTTTTCTCTTGAATGGAGCAACTTCAGACTCAGAACAATGAAAGATATTTTTTCACTTTTGCTTTTCAGAAGGGCCAGTGACCAGCTTGTAAACAAAACACTCTGAGATACTGTTTTTTAGGTTTAATTGGAATTCTGTTATTATTTCAAGATCCTTAGAGATCTCAACGATAAGATTTTCTTCCAATATTATTTTCATTTGAAACTAGAGACTGTTGATTTTTCAGACTGGACTGATAAATGTTTGTGATTTTAGAGTTGCTACTGACTATTTTAATTTGGCTTTGGCAGGGTCCTTTAAATGATGTTGTCTTGGTGTGAAGGGAACAATATCCGGATACTATAAATAATAGATCGATAAATTAATGGCATGAACGATTTAGACAATAAAAAGGCAAATACAAAATTGGAGAAAATATTTGTAATACTATAAGCCATGAAAAGGCTAAATTCTCTAACTAAAAAATTAAATAGAAAATGATGCTTTTTAAGTCAGTAAAAATAAAGAACAACTTAATAGAAAAATAGGAAACTGGAAGAACAAAGAATTAATAGGCAAGGAATTATTATATACTTAAATTATGAAAAATGCTTGATCTAAGTAATTAAAGTTATCATTATGTTTTTGCATATCAGCTTGACAAAAAATTAAGTTTGTTAATCCTAGGTGTTATTGAAAGTGTAATCAGAGTAAATGATAATTGGTTTAGTTTTTAATGAGGGCATTTTGGTTATATCCATCCAAATTAAAAATCCACATTAAAAATCATATACACTTTAGTGCAGCAATCCCATTTAGCAATGGTACCTCATGGATATACTTACAAAAGTCAGCCAAATATGTAAAATAAAACCTCATGAAGTTAAAAGTTGGGATTCACTGAATTGCATCTACTTGATTTCATAATGTGCATTGGTTTTAGTATGTTGCTGTTCTGCTATCTGTAATCAACTATAATAGAGTAATATATTTGGTGGTTTTGGACCAAAATGCATGCTACACATGTGTCTGACTTTGATGGCCTTTATCTTTTCAAGAAAACTGTTGCAAACTTGAGCAAAATTTTCCTAGTTGTAATATTTTAATAGTGTCATGTAATGTAAAACATTTAGAAATACTCCTAAGAGAGTTTTCAATGTCAAGCGGAAATGCTTCTCTTCTAAGTAAATACCACCCTAATTGATAAAAAAACAAACAAACAAAAAATACCTCATAATATCACTGGCCCCAAAGAGAAAAACATGCAAATTTTCATGATGAAGCGATTGGTTAAATAAATAAAATCCTACAGTGGAATATTATGTAGTCTTTAAAAGTAACAAGGTAGAACTATAAATGCTGTTATGGAAAATTGGTTCTAACACATAATACATACACATGTATTTTGTAAATAGATAGTTTATCCTATAGGAGAATGGTTGTAATTTTTGTGTTCTTTTAAAATTTCTCAACCATACATATGTTTGTTTACATATTTATAATTCAAAGGTTATATGAGTCTTGGGTCTACAAACCATTTTCTGTTTTCTTTATAACTGCTTGTCTTAAAAATAGCTATCATATGTTATTAAAAATGAAAAAGAACAAAAAACCCAAGAAAATTATTTGTTTATTCTTCTTAATGCTATCAAGTTATCATTTAATATGAGGTATATTTTTTATTTTGCTTATGTATATTCAGTCAGAATTAATGATAGAATCTTCCCCCACCGCCTCCCTACCCCAATACTCCTGTAACTTATTAAGTTGTTACAGAGAATGACCAAAATGACTTAAATACATAGTTATCTCCTGAGTGTCCTTGACCTTTCTTTATAGTTTAATTGTGGTCCCTTGAACCAGAGGGCAATCTGCAGACATTTTCTTTGTTATCAGAATGTGTGAAACTGGGTTTCAGGACTGTGTCAGAGAACTTTTTAATCATGATGCACTTTTTGGCACAAGAAATACCTCCTCATGGATTATTTCAAAGATGGTGATTTATTTTTAATTTTTAATTTTTTTTTGAGATGGAGTCTCACTCTGTTGCCAGACTGGCGTGCAGGGTGTTGCAATCTTGACTCACTGCAACCTTCACCTCCCGGGTTCAAGCAATTCTCCTGTATCAGCTTCCCGAGTAGCTGGAATTACAGGTGTGTGCCACCACTCCTGGCTAATTTTTTTTTTTTTTTGTATTTTTGGTAGAGATGGGATTTCACCGTGTTGGCCAGGCTGGTCTTGAACTCCTGACCTCAAGTGGTCCATCTGCTTCAGCCTCCCAAAGTGTTGGGATTACTGGTGTGAGTCACCATGCTCGGCCAAAGAGGGCGATTTCTTTTCTTCTTTAATTACACCAGGGATGGAAAAACTCTTTTCCACCTGTGTTTTGTCTTGATGGCTTTAGGCCACTCATCTGGTCACATTTAGATCTGCCTACAGGGAAGGATTACTGTAATGGGATATGACCATGGCAGTTCAAAGAATAAAGAAACCAAAGTGACCAGAAGTTCATGTTAGTTCAAAACATTATAACTGGGAATCTGAAAGAGTAAGACATCCTCTTCGGTGTTTGATGGAGCATTCTTAACTTGCAGATTTTTAGGTTTTTGTTTGTGCATTTGTTCAATAGCTTGCCTATTTTTTGTCTGGCTATAAACTTTTGTATTTGTAAAATGATGTCATCTGAATTCAGTACAAGATTATCCACCATAAAACAAGTAAAGAACGATGACAGTAAAATTAATTTTATGATAATTGAGGCTTTTCTATTAATTTTTTGAGCTATACCTTATAGTTGGTGATTTTTTCCTCAAATGATTAAATTCCATGTGTCAATGGCAGTTCATTTTCTTTTAACTTTGAAAATTTAAGGTTGTACAAATTATTGCAATCATTTCAAGTAGCTCTTTTGTAGTCTGTGTCAAGAGATTTTACTCCAGTAATCTTAGTTTTAGGAGTTTATTCTAATTTTAAGACAATAATTCAAATGAAAGATTATTTATACACAAAATGTTCCTTAATAGAAGAATGTGTGAATTATGGCGTATTCATTAGGTAAGAATTTTATGTAACAAGTAAGCTGATAGTTATAAACCTCATGAGGCAATATTGAAAAATATGCATAAAAAGAAGGAAAATGAGAAGTGGATGCTACCACCAAAGCCAGCAAAATATCTATTTGGGTAAAAAAGTCAGAAACGTTAAAGAAATTAGAAAAATAAAAATAGTTGCTATGTTGAAGTATGGGAAATATGGGTGACGTTATTTATTTCTTTAATTTCTCTAATGTCGTAAGTTCTGCAATAAATAAAAATGTACAGAAAAAGGAAAGAAGCAAAGCTGGGTCTGATGGGAGAAGAACAAGGAGATGACACAGTCACAGATCGGGGTGCAATGATAAATAAACTAGGCCTTTTCTGTGGGATCCTGTCCCAAATGACTGTTCTGAGACATAAAGCAGGGATTACAATGACCTCCTTCAATAGATGAAAATATTGTAATATTTTACAATTTATTCAAGTGGTATTGTTTTTTTAAAAAATTTTTCTAGGTCCTTTTCCTTGCTGAATTCTTCTGGCCTTGTATCCTGTTTATAATTCTGACAGTACTTCGTTTTCAAGAACCTCCCAGATACAGAGATATTTGTAAGTTTTACTTTTTATATACTTTTTGAATTAATCTTTGGAGAAAAAAACTCATAGCACTCTTTCTCGTTTTTTATAAATTCTGAATGCTGAGTAAAATGAATAGATAGGGTTTCATTATGACAATAACAACATATCTGGAGTATATGTCAATAAGCCACAATTTAGTTTTTGTCTTTTAAGAGTGATATTTACACAAGTTCACTCAATCTAGCACACAGATTTATTCTTCCAATTAAAACTGACACAGTTTGGGAATAGGTAAATAGCCATTACAAATATAGAAAGAGTAGAAGAAGTGTAAGTGGGAGATGCATTTCATTGTTTATCAGCATGATACTGATAGTAATGTTGATGGTGATGATGATGGTGGTGAGAAAATAATGATGCTGATGATATGATGATGATGGTGAAGATAGTGATGATGGAGATGATGGTGATGATGATAGAAATAATGATGGTGATGATAGTTATAATGGTGATGAAGATAATGATAGTGGTGATGGTGATGATAGAGATGATAGTAATGAAGGTGATGATGATGATGAAGATGATGATAGTGATGATGATGTAGATGATAGTAATGATGGTGATGATGATGGAGATGTGATGATGGAGATGATGATAGTGATGATGGTGATAATACTAGAGATAATAGTAATGATGATGAAGGCGATAGTGATGATGGTGATGACAATAGTGGTGATCTTGATGGTAATAAAGATGATAATAATAATGATGGAGAAGATCAGGAAAATAGTGATGATGGTGATGATGATGAAGATGATGATAGTGATGAGACTGATTATGATGGAGATAATAGTAATGATGGTGATTATGATGGAGATGACAGTGATGATGGTGATGATAATGGAGATGATAGTGATGATGGTGATGATAATGGAGATGATAGTAATGATGGTGATGATGATGATAATGGAGATGATGGTGGAGGTAATGATGATTGTGATGATGATTACAATGGAGATGATAATAGTGATGATGGTGTTGGTGATGATAGTGATGATGGTGTTGTTGGTGATGATAGTGAAGGTAATGATGGAAATGATGATGATGGTGATGATAGTGATTACTATGATGATATTAACAGTTGTTATGGTGATGCTCTGATACACTATTACTGGTAACTTCCTGTGCCTCAGGAAAGTGGTCAGATGAACCATTTTGTTTATCTGCGTTGAAACCTTAACAAAATCACTCCTTGAGAAATAATGGCCTGCTTTGTCTCTATCAGGCTATACCACTTGTATGTATAATGTGATTGACACTGTAATCATTACATCAGTGAGGGATTATTAAGTGTTGAGATTTACCAAAATAGTGTGTCAGTTATATTTAGGTTTTATACATATTAGGACCATTCCTATCAGTTTGTCTTTGTTATTTGGGGATTCTCCTGTGTGTTGCAGAATGGAAAAATGTAAAACCATGTGAGTAAAATAGCATTTAGGAAAGGATAAAAGCTTTTCAGGGTTTCTACTTTATTATTTATTTATTCAATAAATATGTATTGAGTGCCTTTTGTGTTTCAGGCCTTGCTGAGAATAAAATGGTGGACAAGGCATTTTCCCTCCCTTTACAGAGCTCATTGTAGGGCCAGACTATTACAATGCAGTGGGAAAATTGCCATGATGGGATTTTACACAGGGAGCCGTGTGAGCACACAGGAGGGATGGCCAATCCATTCTAAGGAAAGGCATCTGAGGCAATGTGCAACTTTGTCAGAACAAGGGAGTGCAGAGGAGAAATTGTTTAGGCAGGGCAGACAGCATGGACAAAAGCCTAAAGTGCAACCAAAAAAGGCAGAGATATGGCTGGAGAAGTGAGCAGGGTCAAATAAAGGGCTTTGTATGATGTTGAGGATGGTGAACTCTCAAAGAACATGAAGGAGCCATTGGAAGGTTTCAGGCAAGGTCATAATAAAATGAGCATTTAGGGGTCACATTCTGGATACTGGAAAAGGTTGAATTAGGGGTGGGTGGAAAGCAACACTACAGAAGGCAAGATCAACTTGTGGAGCTCTGGAGTAACCAGGCAAGAGATGGTTGTGCCCTGAAGCAGGGGGAAGAGGCCAGATTTAACGGACATGAAGGAGGTAAGATGGGCAGAAACAACTGTCTGGATGTATGAGGACAGGGAGGTCTTTGACTGGAACAGTTGAGTGGAGAGTGCACTCCCACCAAACTGACAGGGCACAGGACGTGTAGGGGATTTGGGGAGCTGTGCTCAGCATGACCATCTTGAGTCTGAGGGACTCTTGAGATTGTCAGGGTGAGCCACCTAATCAATCAGATTATGAATTTGGAATCACATAGATGAGGACACCTAAGAAGGAGAAACTTCCAGAATATAGGCCTCAGGAAGAGCGCATTCAAGGGATAAACAGAGGAGACAATAAGCAGCAACCAGAGTGCTGGAAGGCAAACAGAGATTTGGAGTCTGCCTGGGAAGCATTGAAAGAAGGAGGCATGGCAGAGTGACAGGTGCTGTTGCTGTGTACTGCAGGAGTAGATAAGGGCTGACAAGTTCTCCAGGGCAGTTCACTGGAGGGATAGGATGAGGAGGGCCAGGCTGCAACAGCCTGAAGAGCAAAGTGGGTAAGAAAAGGAAAGGTAAGTGATAAAAAAAAAAAAACAAACAAACCAGGAGTACTATGCAGGAGAAATGGGCAAAACAGGGCAAAAAAAGCTTGCATGCAACCAGAGGATAACTTGGTATCAAGACTGATAAGAAGCCTCAAAATGATAGTGGCTAATGCAAAATTGTGAATGATTTAGTTGTAAATGATAGAGAGCACTAAGTCTGCCATCCAGTGTGGTACTAGCTCAGTCCTGCCCTATGGAAAGAGCAGCTTATGATGTTCCTTATCCTCAAAGCTTCCATCCATCCCTTAAACATTTATCAAGCTCTTGCTTTGTATCAGGAGTGCAGTCCAACAAAGATGTGGCCCAAAGAAACACCGGAAATATTTCCCAGAGGTGTGCAGATGAGCTTTCCTACAGAAGGAAAGGCTTTGTCAGAGTCTCAAAGGGGCTCAGGAGTCAAAAGTGATCAAGGACTGCACGTTGAAGCTCCATCAAGCCCCCCATCAACTCTGTGGGGATGAGCATGGCGTGCAACCTTTGTGAACCTCTTCTCTATAAAGACAGCAAATTTCTCCTGGCTCCCAGGGCTGCTGTAAGGGCTTGGAGAGAAAGCCGGTCAGGAGCATGCACTCAGCACCAGGCCTGACATGGAGATGATTAAAAAAATGCCCGTCCCCCTCCCTCATGCCTCCCACTGTTTTGGGGTGACCTGATGTTACCATGCCAGGTCTTTAATCTTGGAGAGAAAATGTGTCCAGGGCTGAAGTCCTCAGTCTCTGACCCATTGAGCACTCTCTATGGGGCCATCATTCCTGATGTGTTCCTGGAGAGAGAGATGGGACACAGAAGCCATGCCGAGGAAATGCACTCTCTGGGCACTGTTGCTGACCCCTGAAGTCACCACTGTGTGGAAGATGTTCTGTGTCTGTCCTGTTACAGGAAGAGCTGGCCCCATTCTTATGCTGTGACTGAGAAGGACCTTAGGAAAGGTGATGTGGGTTTTACAATTTTACAATGAAGCCAAAAACTGCATATATGGGTATTTTCACTAAGAATAAATAATCTTCCAAAGTTAAGATTATTTGCATAGGAAAATGAAATTTCCTGTTAAGTACCTTGAGAGATTAAAGCTTGATAAGCTTTATTTATATGTCTGTCCCAGTAAAATTCTGTTTGTGCTGTTGAAGTTAGGCTTGTGATCACCTATGGTGTGGGCAGGCTGCACATGCAGGTGGACAGGCACAAGCCCAGGGCGCTGCTGCTTCCTCGAGCTATACATGAAAGTGAAAACTGCTGCCTGGGCAGCGCTGCCTTTGTGTTCTCACTTTCAGGGACTGGGAAAAGAGAAAAACAAGAAGCGGTCAGGGACCCTGAGGAGACCTAGGAAAGTGCTCCAGGTTTCAGATGGGCCCTGGCAATCCTGGGGTGCTGGACAGGCATCTCCGTTCCAGGCCTGCTCCTGGAGGTAGTGAGGTGCAGTAGAATGAATATTTGACCTGGAGTCATTCTTGGGTTTGTGTGTGATCTGTGGAAAGACACACCTGTGATTCTCAGCATCCTCATTGTAAAACATGTTTTTAATTGTATTCCATGAGATATTCAAGACCTTCACACCCAGTTACTTGTATTACAAGGTGGCCCAAAGATACAAAGCCAAATCTTTAGTCTTGGAGACACACTGTATCCCAAACTAGCATCCTCAAATTCTCTGATCCACTGAACACCTCACTGTGGTGACTTCCATTCCTCATGTGTTCCTCAGAAAAACAGGACACAGAAATTATGCTAGGAAAATACACCTTTTATTGCTAGCTGGGATATAACCCCAAATTCTTTTATGGTATATTATTCTAGAGCACTGAGCCTTGTGTCTGCTAATGACTCCATTTGTTCCCTTAGCTAAAAACCTATTCATGTATTTTTTAATTCATTCATTTAGTGAGTGTCTTCTATGTGAGAGGCATTGTGCTGAATGCTGGGCATAGGGAGTCTCTAACTCCTGGATCATCTCCCTGACCAAATTAGATGTGAGCAGTAAGGCTGTCAGCAGGGTTTCATGAGCTACATCATATTAGATTACGATGGTAATCGTAGCTTTCTTTCTATTTTTTTTTGAGACGGAATTTTGCTCTCGTCGCCCATGCTGGGGTGCAATGGCACGATCTTGGCTCACCGCAACCTCTGCCTCCTGGGTTCAAGTGGTTCTCCTGCCTCAGCCTCCTGAGTAGCTGGGATTACAGGCACCTGCCACCACACCCAGCTAATTTTTGTATTTTTTTTTTTTTAGTAGAGACAGGATTTCAACACATTGGCCAGGCTGGTCTCAAACCCCTGACCTCAGGTGATCTACCCACCTCGGTCGACCTCCCAAAGTGCTGGGATTACAGGTGTGAGCCACCACACCCGGCTGGTAATCACAAGTTTCAAGTTGTTGCAGCCATCAGCATCCTCACTACTCCCACTCTCCTGGTGGTGTGAAGGAAGGATATGGTTGGGGATGTGTAAACAGCATGTTATCCACAGAGGTGGCTATTTTCTAGTGACGTTTGTCCTGAAAAGTCCTATTCCGTGTAGAAAGACTTTTTTTTTTGTATTACACAATATTTAACAACTATATTTAAGCATTCAGAATTCAACTGGCATTAAGCTTGAAGTTTTTGCTAAAACTAAAAACTCCTACATTTTTATATGAGATGGGAAGAAGCATCCTTTTTATTCTTCCTGCTCGCAGCTTGTTCATAGAGAGCCATGTCTGGAAGCTTGGCTGTGCATCAGAGGTATTTCCACTCGGTGAATGGGGAATCTCGTGAATCCTGTAGCTATGGCTGCTCAGAGCCATTCTGCCTTGAAACATGAATATTGACCCTGGAAGAAAGGTGTTAGATATAAAGATGTTTCATTTTGTTAGATTTTTTTTTTTGTCTGAGTCCTTAGATCTCCTTTAAATTAACAGCAAGGTTAATAATATAATAATATATTATATTACAATTTCAACTCAACAGGAATTCCATTTCTGGTAGTAGGTATATGGACTTATTTCTTCTTTGCATCTATTTCTAGGTTATTTGCAGCCCCGAGATCTGCCCAGCCGTGGTGTTATCCCCTTTGTTCAAAGCCTTCTTTGTAACACTGGATCAAGGTGCAGGAACTTCAGCTATGAAGGGTCGATGGAGCATCATTTTCGGTAAGAGAAGCACAAAGATCTTTTTCAAAAATCTCAGAAAGCTGACACGTAGGACAGGCTTCTGCTTTTTGTAAAGCCTCAATAATTTGGGATAGGTCAGAGATCATGAGAAGTATAGAAATTAAAGTTTTATTAAATTCAGAGTCACATAATTCTGGCTGCAACTAATGGTTAGCTTCCAGCAGGAGATCTTTCCACTGCCACCTGCAGGACTCACAGGGTAATAACTGATTAGCAAATGCTATTTGCATGTGATAATTTGTTTTCTGTAGGTTAAAATTATGACTTCAAAATTACTTGTCTGGCCAACTTTTCATTTTAGTGCCACATGCCCCTAGAACAATTATTTTTTGAGCTACCTACTGGGTTTTTTCTACTGTGCTATTAGTTGACCAGAATCCTGTCCCTAGCTGACAGCAAATAAAAACTGGGCAGTACTGCTTTATTTGTCATAAACCACCTAAATGGACTACAGGACAGGTAAGTTGCTTTCTCTGAGTCTCTGAATGCTGAGCTATGCAACTGACACTGTAGTTGGCCTTAAAACTCAAGAAGAGAAGGAGAAGAAGAGACGAAGTGAGGGAGTTTCACTTGGGGGATCCTGAATGCCCTGGAAACTTCTCCCAGGTGAAGTTAGGAAGGGAAGCAAGTGACTAGTTGATTATGAGAGTTTGCATTAACAGGTATGAATGATCTGAGTTTTATTTAATCTGTATTTACTAATATTAAATAATCTAAGATGTTTAAATGTAAAGCAAATGTTGACATATATGATCTTTATCCTCCACCTTTAAGTTACAAGAGGAAAATTAAAAGTTTCCAGATAATTTTCGGCACATCAGGTACAATATTTATAAATGGTGTTGTTTTAGTTCATTTGGGCTGCTATAATGAATACCATAAACTGTGTGGCTTATAAGAAATACATATTTATTTCTCGTAGTTTTGGAGACTGAGAAGTCCAAGATCAAGGTGCCAGCTGATCTGGTATCTGGTGAGAACCCTTTCCATAATAAATGACACCTTCCAGCCGTGTTCTCACATAATGGAAGGGATGAGGCAGCTCTCCAGGGTCTCTTTAATAAGGGCACTAACCCTCTTCATGAAGGCTCTGTCCTCATGATCTAATCACCTCCCCTATATCATCTTAGGGGTACGTTTCAACATAGAAAGTTGGGCATGGGAGATGCCAACTTTCAGACCATAGTAGGTGCTTACTTTTTCTGCGACTAATCATATAGAAATATGATATAAAGGGGCTAATTTGAAAATACTTCCAAGTCATAACCCTGAAAAGTTCAATGGCCTTTTCTTGAATGTGTGGAGAAGGGAAATATACAAAACTGTCTTTCTTGGAAGCATTAGAAGAACTTGAGACTTAGCAGCGTCTTTATTTCAAGTCTTCTTACGTCTCTTCCTTACTTGGAATGGGAAGTTTAAATGATGTTGAAGTGGAAAGGATACGATTTTGTGGCTAAACAATACTGGCTCTGTTACCTTTGGTTCTGTAAATCTGTGCAAATTAATTAACCTCTCTGAATCTGTTCACTCACTTTAAGTTTTGTGAATGTTAAAAATAAATATAGAAAACATCTAGCACAATGCATGGCACAGAGGCATTCAACCAAGGGGAGTTAATAATAACAAATTCTTATTACTGTGGCTGTAACAATTATAAAAATACTACTTGAAGCCCAGGCGTGGTGGCTCACACCTGTAATCCCAGCACTTTGGGAGGCTGAGGCGGGCAGATTGCCTGAGACAAGGAGTTCAAGACTAGCCTGGCCAACATAGTGAAACCCTGTCTCTACTAAAAATACGAAAAAATTAGCCGATGTGGTGGCGGGTGCTTGTAATCCCAGCTATTGGGGAGGCTGAGGCAGGAGAATTGCTTGAACCCAGGGGGAGGTCGCAGTGAGCCAAGATCGTGTCACTGCACTCCAGCCTGGGTGATAGAGCGAGACTCAGTCTGAAACAAACAAACAAAAAACCCAAAATTACTTGATACCAGGAAATAATCTACTTTTGTTTTCTTTGTGTTTTTCCACGTCAACATCCTCACTTCAATGTGCAGAAATTCAGGGATTATAAAAGCAACCTGGTGAGATTCTTCACCTAACATTCTGAGAGTGGTAGTCAGGTGAATAGTTCACCAGCATTGCAAAGCCTTTAACTTTGAGAACCAAGAATGAAATTCCCCACCTTGTCTAGTAGCACCGAAGGAAGAGGTATAAGAAATACAAAATAAAATAGGGAAAGGAAATTTTTAGGAGTAAGGAAAGAGGGGAGAGGGAGAAAGGAGACAAGGAAGAGTGAAGCATGCTGTCAATAGACCTGGCTACTCGACTAAGTAGATTTCATGTGTTTTCATATTGGAGCAACTGTGGATTCAACTGAAGTTCAAACCCATAAATAAAGACTCATTCCTGATTATTTTGTGGTAATTGTCTCGGTTTAAAAACACCTGAAAGCAGCTGGGTGCAGTGGCTCACGCCTGTAGTCGCAGTGCTTTGGGTGGCCAAGGTGGGCGGATCACGAGGTCAGGAGTGTGACACCACCCTGGCCAACACAGTGAAACCTCATCTTTACTATAAATACAAAAATTAGCTGGGCTTGGTGGCGGGCGCCTGTAGTCGGAGCTACTCACGAGGCTGAGGCCGGAGAATTGCTTGAACATGGGAGGCAGAGGCTGCAGCAAGCCGAGTTTGCGCCACTGCACTCCAGCCTGGGCAACAGAATGAGAATCTGTCTCCAAAAAACCCCACAAAAACAACAAACAAACAAAGAAAAACCAAAGATACAAAAACAAAAACAAAAAAATCTGAAAGCAAGTGTCACAGCTAATTTAGTTCGTAAGTTTCTGTGACCTTTCTAATTCCTTAGGTAAGTTCTCTTTGGGCAGAAATCCCAGGTACCATCTGATGTAGTTTATGATTAGGAAAATCAGCTTCCTCATTCCTGCTTTTGTTGGGGGGTTTCCCCTTCATTTTAACAAGAGGATTTCAGAAACATGAAGCACTGCAGGAAACAGAACTGGATATTCTTGCCAGTGTTAGTGGTCACTCCTATTTTGTTTAGTTTAAAATGCTTTGTAATGCGAATATGCCGTCTAAACCCGCCCCTCACTTCCCTTTCACTGTCTGACTACCTTCGGGAGGCTGATCGCCACACCCATGTCGGGGCACGCCCACCCTTGGTCTACAGCACCCGGTGCCTTGCCTTCTCGGCTTCGGTTGGGTGATCAAAGTTTCTTGAAACGTTTCCAGCCATTTCCTACTGGTCTCATTTGGTGGTCATCAATATTTTTATTTATTTTTTTGTCCATTCTCAAACATGCCCAGATACCCCGAGGATCATCTGACCCTCTCTGCCTCTTTTGCAACAACCATACTGCCTGGTTCTGAGTCTTACTTGATTATCACCTGCTGCCGCCTCACCTCAGCTTCTCAGTTTGCTTTTCACTCTCTTGACGCTCTTTTTTTTTTTTTTTGAGACGGAGTTTTGCTCTTGTTGCCCACGCTGGAGTGCAATGACGTGATCTCGGCTCACGGCAACCTCCGCCTCCTAGACTTATAATTTGTTGTTGTTGTTGTTGTTGAGACAGAGTCTGGCTCTGCTGCCCAGCACTGCAACCTCTGCCTCCCGGGTTCAAGCGATTCTCCTGCCTCATCCTCCTGATTAGCTGGGACTACATTGCCCAGCCCAACGTTCTGGAGTGTTTCCCCAATGTTTTATTCTATTTGTTTCATAGTTTCAGGTCTTAGATTTAAGTCTTTAATCAATTTTTTTTTTCTTTTTTTTTTTTAGTGTGGCAAGAAATAGGGGTTTAGTTTCATTCTGCGTATGGATATCCACTTTTCTCAGCAGCGTTTATTGAAGAGACTGTTCTTTCCTCATTGAATGTTCTTGGAGCCTTTGTAAAAAATGAGGACTGCAATGTGTGGATTTATTTCTGGGTTCTCTGTTCTGTTCCATTGATCTGTGTGTCTGTTTTCATGACAATACCATGCTGACTTGGTTACTAAAGTTTTGTAGTATATTTTGAAGTCAGGTAATGTGATGCCACCAGCTTTGCTCTTTTTGCTCAGGATTGCTTTGGCTATTTGAGGCTTTGTAGTGGCGTATAAATTTTAGGATTTTTAAAAAATGATTTTTTCCCTATTTCTCTGAAGAACATATTTGGTATTTTCATAGCAATTGCATTGAATCTGCAGATTGCTTTGGGGAGGATGGACATTTTAACAATATTGATTCTTCTAATCCATGAACATGGAGCATCTTTCTAATTTTTGTGTGTCCTCTTCAATTTCTTTCATCAGGGTTTTATAGTTTTCATTGCAAGGAATTTTTACTTCTTTGGTTAGATTTATTCCTAGGTATGTTATTTTATTAGTAGCTATTATAAATGAGATTGCTTTCTTGGTTTCTTTTTCACATTGTTCACTATTAGTGTATAAAAATGCTATTGATTTTTCTTTGTTAATTTTGTGTATCCTGCAACTTTACTGAATTTGTTTATCGGTTCTAATAGTTTCTTGGTGGAGTCTTTAGGTTTTTCTCAATATGAGATCATGTCACTTGCAAACAAGGATAGTTTGACTTCTCCCTTTTCAATTTGGATGCCCTTTATTTCTTTCTGTTGCTGGATTGTTCTGACTGGGACTTCCAGTATTATGTTGCATAAAATTAGTGAAAGTGGGCATTCTTGTTCCAAATCTTAAAGAAAAGATCTTCAGTTTTCCCTGATTCAGTATGATAGTAACAGTGATTTTGTCATATAAGGTGTTTATTGTGCTTGACTGTGTTCCTTCTATATCCAGGTTTTTGAGAGTTTGTATCATAAAGGAATGTTGAATTTTATCTAATGCTTTTTCAACGTCTATTGATATGATTGTATAGTCTTTGTCCTTTGTGTTTTGATGTGATGTATCACATTGATTAATTTGCATATGTTAAATCACTCTTGTGTCCTTGGGATGGATGAATTCCACTTGGTCATA